TGGTGGGAAAGTAACTGCGTTCCAGGTGCCTTCGGCATTTAGTCATGCCGGCCACATTACCACGGAGACGTCTTCGGACAATGCTGGCTCTTTGGCTTTGAAACAGAGACGAACACCGGAAACAACTAGCAAGCATGTGCGGGGAAACTTTTATCTTTACCTGTATATCTCAATATGAATTACCTACATCTGAATTCAATTACTTGAGAGCAAAGTTGCCTAGAATTCTGTATGTCTACTTAGAGTCTCAGAAAAAAGGCCAGTCTATAAGCTGGACAAGGAACATTGTAAGGAATTGAGAGGGATTTTTTAAAGTAAATATTGATTGTTCTTTTGCAGAAAAGGGTAAATACTTAGCTCTTGATCTTGGAGGAACAAATTTCAGAGTTTTGCTTGTCAAAATCAGAAGTGGAAGAAACAAATCGGTTCAGATATACAATAAAATATTTGCAATTCCTTTGGAAATTATGCAAGGAACAGGAGAAGAGGTAAAAGTTAATTCTTAACTATTTATTCCAGGGACTTATATTCTATTCCAGTCTAACAGGACTGTGAACAATTCTCCTTGCTGATCCACATGTATTTAAAACCCTGGTATTAAATGCCGCCTTTAATTACTATTATTTTTTTCTTTCTTTCAGTTATTTGATCACATTGTCCAATGCATTGCGGACTTTTTGGAATACATGGGAATAAAAGGTGCCCGGCTCCCCCTTGGATTTACTTTTTCTTTCCCCTGCAGGCAAACAAGTATTGATAAGGTGAGAGGGATGGGATTTTCCACCTTGATTGGATTCTACTTTTAATGTGGTTTTAATCAGTGCTCAATGTTGCTTTTTAATAGATTTTGTGCTTCTATTTATCGAGCCTCTAGGAGGACAAAAATGGCCTCTCCTGGGCTCCAGAGGCCAGAAACGGGGCAGTTTCCGGTCCGGGAGGCCTGTTTTTTGCCCTCCCTGAGCCTCCGCGTGGGCCCTGCACTTACCTGGCATCCAAAACGGGTTGCATGAAGACTCCTGGGAGGTGCGGAGCAAGATGGGTGGGGCCAGCCAGTCCTTTTAACTACCGGTTTGACAAACCAGATGTAAAATTAGCATCCGGTTTGTCCAAACTGGTCCAAACTGGCTGAATCCCAGCCCTGCTTAAATATTTACATCCTGGATATAAATTGTTTCAACTTCTATTCCTCAAAACAACGTTATAGAGCAATGCACACCAGAACAACTAGACACAAGGACAGTTTTTCCCGCATGCCATTACTCAGATAAACAACTAATTTCCACAACACTGTCAAACTATTTACTAAGATTATATTACTTTCATTCTTCTCATCCTTCCTATTACCTACCTCCTCCTGCTTATGACTAATAACCATGTTGCTGTATCTTTATGATTTATATTGTTTTATTTAGTTTCCTAGTATGATTTTGATTGCTCACTTAGTATCCTAAGACTATCACTAAGTGTTGTGTCTTATGATTCTTGATGAATGTATTTTTTAATGTATACTGAGAGCTTATGCTCCAAAGACAAATTCCTTGTGTGTCCAATCCCACTTGGCCAATGAAGAATTCTTAAAAAGATCTTGAGCACCAGCATTAGGAGAGACTGTGTAAAATCAATGCTCAGTGCACAAAAGTAACAGGCATTCTTGTTTGATTTTCATTTGGGTAAGGCATGCTTATGTGGGAACTGCCGACACATGAAACATTGGCGTCTTTCTGACCCACCCAAGCACAGCATGGACATGTCCTGGGAATCCGCTTTGTCTCCCTATATTCTCAGAATACTGCCTTTGCCCATCCCCAAGCCTATACAGATAGTCCCTGACTTATGACCATTCATTTAGCCTCCATTCGAAGTTACAATAATGCTGAAAAAAGGGGGCCATTACTGTGCTCACAGTTAGGGCAGCGTCTCTGCAGTCATGGGACCGCATTTTGGGCATTTGGCAACCAACATGTATAGATGAGAGATGCAGCATCCCGGAGTCATGTGATCATCATTTGCAACCTTCCAGGCAGGGGTGAAATCCAGCAGGTTCTGACAGGTTCTAGAGAACCATAGGGGAAATTTTGAGTAGTTCAGAGAACCAGCAAATGCCACCTCTGGCTGGCCCCAGAGTGTGGTGGGAATGGAGATTCTGCAGTATCCTTCACCAAACCACGCCTACCAAGCCACATTCACAGAACCGGTAGTAAAAAAAATTGTGTAANGGGCATCGGCTGAAGCTGGGAGAACACGGGTCCTGGAGGATCCCCAAATTGTGGATTTGCTCCTTCAGGGGTCGTGCTGTTGCAGAACAATGTAGGGAGGGCAGGGCCTTCTGTCCCAACTATCCAGAAGGAGGGGTGTTATTATGACACCGCTGTTATGTTAACATAAATACCCGACATCTGTGAATGGTGTAAGCTGCTGGTGTTGTGCAATGGTTGCATTACAAGGTGAACATTTGGCACAACTGCTGTCGTCTCCTGGGTCTTCCTTGTAGGTATGCCAAGCGTCTCCATAAGGTCGTCCGGCGGTTGGTGCCCAATTGTGATGTCCGATTTCTGCTTTCGGAGAGCGGAAGCGGGAAGGGGGCTGCCATGGTCACCGCCGTGGCTTACAGGCTGCTGTCTCAGCGGAAGCAGGTCAATGAGGTCTTGGCTCTTTTCAAATTAACCCGAGAGAATCTCATTGAGGTAAGAAACAAAATGAGGACAGAACTGGAGTGCGGCCTGAAGAAAGAAACCCACCCAGCAGCCACCGTGAAAATGTTGCCAACGTTTGTTTGCGGCACTCCGGATGGCACAGGTACTTCCTCATTTCTTTCATAGTTGTGTAGGCTGCCCACTTTGGAGAGCTCAAGAGGATTTACAAAAATCTGAAAAGAAAAGCCTTAAAACCAGGAGCAATTAATAATTCATTAACTATCTTCTAGGCAGCCATTTTTGATAGTTCAAAAATGACGGGGAAGGGATAGAAGTTATGAAAAATCTGATACACAGGGGCATGACATACTATAACAGTGATGGAGAATGTTTTTCTACTCGGGTGCCCAAAAACATGCATGTGTGAGATAGTGAGTGTGTGCCCACATCCATAATGTAATGCCCTCCCCGCCCTGTGCAGGCATACAGGCCTCACTGAAGCCTCCGAACTTCCAGTAGGCCCATTGGACCCGTTTTTCACTGTCCACAGGCTCCAGAGGCTTTCCTGAAGCCTGGGGAGGGTGAAAACGGCCTTCCCCTGCCCTCCGGAGGTCTGAAAATCAGCTGCCCAGTGCGCGCATACGCACTAGAGCTGACAGGACAGTGTCCTCAGATATGGCTCCACGTGCCACCTGTGGTACGCATGCGATATGTTTGCCATCACGGTACTATAATGTCTGTATTTCTCTGCTCCAACAGTGTTCTGACCAGTGGTGGGATTCAATTTTTTTTACTACCGGTTCTGTGGGCATAACGTGGTGAGCATAGCTTGGTGGTCATGGCAGGGGAAGGATACTGCAAAATCCCCATTTCCTCCCAATCAGCTGTGACTCGGGAGGCAGAGAATAGATGGGGGCGGGGCCAGTCAGAGATGGTATTTAACGGTTCTCCAAACTACTCAAACTACCTCTGATTCTGACCCAGCTCCCCAAACATGACAACCTCTCTGTATTTAAATCAACGATTCCTTTATTAGGAGCGCCAGCAGCCCTGGCAAAAAAGTTTCTCTCTCAACACAGGCTAACAGATTTGTCCGGAAGGGAAATGAATAGTTGTCTGCCACATCTATTAATCTCTGCCCCCTGCCTTTTATCCCCAGAGCTAGGGTGAGGCTTTGCTAGCAGCTCTTCTGTCCCAAGGACTGGCCCATAGATTTCCACTGCTCTCCTCTCCTTTGCCTTCTGCACATCCACACGTCAGGCACTAGACCCAACTTTTCCTCCTCTTCCTCATCAGCCAGACCTGGGGGCTGTTGATTTTCCATCTGAGGGCTGATGGCCAGCCCAGGCTCCACCTCTGTCTCAGTCTCTCTCTGCCAGCTCCATTCCCTCTTCCTGCTCAGAGCTCTCAGATTGCCTTGATGCTCACCCTGATTCCTACGCCTCCTCCTCCTCTGAGTTCTAGGGAAAGTGGATTGTACATATATAGCATTCGCAAAACACAGTGAGTCTAAATTTCTGCCGATCTTTCTGGTGATGCAAGTTTCATCGCTTTTGAAAAAAAATGCATTTTTTATTCCAGTCATTTTTCTCCTGGATACTAAAATATACAAGTGATAAATGGAGTTTGACCCAGCATTTTGCATAAAAAAGATGAAGTATCTTTGGCCTAGATGTGCTAAAACACTATTAAACGCGTGTTAAACGCGTGTTTCTAATATACCCTAAACTTTAGCTTTCTGGAAAGATCTGGAGAATGGTCAGGGATTGGTCAACTGCGTACTCGGAACTACAGGTGGTCCTTGACTTACAACCATTCATTTAGTGACTGTTCAAAGTTACAACAGCACTGAAAAAATTGACTTACGGCCATTTACACGCAACCATTGCAGCATCCCCAAGATCACATGATAAAAATTAGGATACTTGGCAACTGGCATGTACTTATCACAGTTCGCAGTATCCTGGGGGTCATGTGATCGCCTTTTGCAACCTTCTGACGACAGGTCAATGGGGAAGCCAGATTTACTTAACAACTGCTTTACTAATTTAGCAGCTGAAATGATTCACTTAATAACTGAGGCAAGAAAGTTTGCAGAATGGGGCAAAATTTACTTAACATCTGTGTTGCTTGGCAATGAAAATGTTGGGTTCAATTGTGATCATAAGCCGAGGACTATCTGTATATCGGGACGTGGTGGCTCAGTGGCTAAGACGCTGAGCTTGTCGATCAGAAGGTCGACAGTTCAGCGGTTTGAATCCCTTGTGCCGTGTAACGGAGTGAGCTCCCGTTACTTGTCCCAGCTTCTGCCAACCTAGCAGTTTGAAAGTGCATAAAAAATGCAAGTACAAAAATAGGAACCACCTTTGGTGGGAAAGTAACTGCGTTCCAGGTGCCTTCGGCATTTAGTCATGCCGGCCACATTACCACGGAGACGTCTTCGGACAATGCTGGCTCTTTGGCTTTGAAANTCCGTGTTTCTGTCTTTCTGCCACCCTCCTCAGAGATCTCTATACTCCGACCCAGAAGCTACTTTTTAAGTGTAAAATAAAATAATAATGGAACATGGGAAGTGATGAGATGAAACACAGAGAATTCAAAGAATCCAGAAATGACCACACTGATGCTGGAGGACATAATTACCATTTATTATTTCATTTATTTGCCTGATAGCAGACCTTTCTGCTCAGACAAGGGAGGAAGGCAGGTAACAAAATCTTACAGTTCCGTAATTCAATACTATTTATAGTAATATCAGTAATGCCATAATCACAGGCACCTGTGGAACGATCTACTTGTAGAGATCCGGACCCTTCCCACTCTCTCGGCCTTCCGAAAAGCCACTAAAACCTGGCTATTCCGGCAGGCCTGGGGCTGTTGACCTCATGAATGGGGCTGGGCCTGGGGCTGTTGACCTCATGAATGAGGTCCAGCCCCACTCAGATTGAGTGTATGGTTGCGTTGTTTTTAAATTGTTCCTTTCTATTTTTAAATTGTTTCTCTTGTTTTATTTTAATCCTTTATGTTCCTTTTGTTCTGTAAGCCGCCCGGAGTCCTACGGGATTGGGCGGCATATAAATTTATTAAAAGTTAAAGAGAGAGCGGGAGACAGACAGACAAACAGACAGACAGACAGACAGACAGACAAATTTAACAACCGTACAATCAAGTTCTACCCATTTTTAATGTGTGCTGTGATAAATACGAAAAAGGAATGGGGCTTTGTTTCTGTGGCCGTGGCTGCCATCTTGACTTTTTTTGACTTTGTCCCTGTGAATTATCCTGAACAGGTGCTTCACTGGTAGAAGTACTGGTGTGTGCACAGCAACCACACATATTATTCCCTCATATTTTTTTTCTTTTTAAAAATAACTCCTTTAATCTGATTACAGTACATTATTCTGAAGAAAGAGTAGTTGTGAGGTTCTGGCCAGAATGAACCTTTAAGCCCTGGGTAGGTTTATGGCAGTGGTAGGTTGGCAATTTTTTTATTACCGGTTTGGGGGAGCAGCGTGACGCTTCTGCGCATGCATAGAAGTGTCCAGACGGGTGGGCGCAGTCTCCTGCCACCACTACTACTGGTTCACCGAATCCGGGCTGAATGGGGAGCAACCCACCTCTTGTTTATGGGGAAAACAATGCCAGCATAATTTTAAATGAATAAATCTCAAGGTGGTGCTGCCACCTGCTGGACATCTGTATATTAAGCTCACTTATTCACTGTCTTGCTCGGCAACAAAAAGTTTGGACTCAGTTTTATTCATAACTTCTACTACCTGTATGGCACACCCATGATTTGAATTGATTTCTTATCTTCCAACAACACATAGGTGTTAGAGTAAAAGGAAAATAAACTGAAAGAAAGATTCACTGTCAATGATTGCTGGGCATTTTTTTTTTATTTCTTCCAAACTTTCGACCAAAAGGATAACAGAGAATTTGGCAGTAAAGAGACTAATACATAACAGGTTGCTGAGAACCCAGCCAACATAATCTAAACATGCAGATTTCCCTCTCATTATGCAAATGGATTTATACCAGTTTATTACGCAATTGATTAATTTAAAATAAAACAACCCGGTTTCCCACTATTTCCTCCCAAAATCCCTGAGCAGCTTTCAGGTAACAGGTTGCTCGCTTTATATCAGGGGTGCCAAACTCAAGGCCCACAGGCCAGATCCAGCCCATGGGGTGCTTAGATCTGGCCCATGAGGCCGCCCTGGAAACAGCAAAGAACCGGCCCATGGTGCCTCTACCAGCAAAAATGCAGCTTGGGAGGGCCGCATGTGGCCTTCCTAGTGGCGGGTCAAATGCTACTGGTTCGGACTGGTTTGCCTGAACCTGTAGTAGAAAATGCTACGGGTTTGGGTGAACTGGTAGTTGTGATGATCAGCTGTGTGACAATCAGCTATGCCCTGCGATTAGAAATCACGTGGAACAGCTTATTGTTGCACAGCTGATCATCCGGTAGCATTTTTATACTACTGGTTCGGGTGAACCGGTAGTTCCCACAATCAGCTGTGCCACACGATTTGTATTGGCTAGAAAGCAGGAAATCCTGCTTCCTAGTGAATCTAGATTGTGTGGCACAGCTGTTTCCCCCCCCCCCTTGCTGTTCTACTTACCTTTGCAGACTCAGAAAAGGCTTCTTAATCCTCCTTTTTTAGCCCTGTGATATACATGCACGCAAACCGAACAGGTAGCAGACTTCACAGCATTTCACCCCTGCCTCCTAGGCTCCACACTTTCAGCCGCAATGGCCTCCTGCAGCCCTCTTCCAGTGAAAATGAAATTTGGGAGGACTGCCCACAGCCTCCCCGAGCTCTGTTTTCGCTGGCAGAGGGCTGTGCCCACCCTGACCCATTCATGCCCATCCGGACACCCTGAGGTCAAACTCAACCCTGATGCAGTCCTCAGTGAAATTGAGTTTGACTCCCCTGCTTTATATGAAGTAGTCTTGATATAGAACACTGTTTTTCACGTTTGGCAATTTTAAGATGAGTGGGCTTCAACTCCCAGAATTCCCCAAAGTTGCTGGGAAATTGTGAAATTTGAAGCCCGCACACTGCAACGTCCAGTGAAAAACACTGGTGCAGAAAGTCTGAAGAGTGGTTGAGCTCTATTAAGGAGCACATGGTAAGAGGAAGCCTGGAGCACTGTACTTTTTGCTCAGTCAGAGTGAGTTCTGCATCTTTTCCATCCTTGCTCCATCAAAACCTGTTAGCCATGAGTGGAGAGCTTAAGGCTGGAATGTGTATCAGCTCACTTTGCAATTATAACCAATATGTGTGAGTGGTGAAATCTAAATTGGACTAGTTAACCTCCAGGTCCCTTCCAGTCCTGAATTGCTGTGCTTTTTCAAGGTATCCTATGATGGTACATCTAATGCTAGGTTTGTGGTCCTTCCTCCACTTCCTTTTTCCCTCCTTCCCTCCCTCCCCGCCTCCCTCCACCTTCTTTCTTTCTTTCTTTCTTTCTTTCTTTCTTTCTTTCTTTCTTTCTTTCTTTCTTTCCTTCTTTCCTTCCTTCTTTCCTTCTTTCCTTCCTTCTTTCCTTCCTTCCTTCTTTCTTTCTTTCCTTCTTTCCTTCTTTCCTTCTTTCCTTCTTTCCTTCCTTCCTTCCTTCTTTCCTTCCTTCCTTCTTTCTTTCTTTCTTTCCTTCTTTCCTTCCTTCCTTCTCTCTTTCCTTCTTTCTTTCTTTCTTTCTTTCTTTCTTTCTTTCTTTCTTTCTTTCTTTCTTTCTTTCTTTCCTTCTTTCCTTCCTTCTTTCCTTCTTTCCTTCCTTCTTTCCTTCCTTCCTTCTTTCTTTCTTTCCTTCTTTCCTTCTTTCCTTCTTTCCTTCCTTCCTTCCTTCCTTCCTTCCTTCCTTCCTTCCTTCTTTCTTTCTTTCTTTCTTTC